ATATTTTTTTTTATTAAAATAAAAAAATTAAAAAATTAAAAAATTTAATAATTATATTAAATTTTTTTTTTTTTTTTTTTTTTTTTAATTCTATCTTTTATTACTAATATTATTTTTTTAATTTTTTTTTTTTCTTTTATTAGTATGCCAAATTAATTCAAAAAATTTTTCATCGTTTATTAATTTGATGAGAGATCAGATTGAAGGATACAAGATATATTTAGAAGGTAAAATTTTTGTTATGTGTCTAAATATTAAAATATTTTTTTTAAAAATACTTTTATTTACTCATAATTATTTTATTTTTTTTTTTTAGACATTTTTAATAAAACAAGAGATGATTTAAATTTAAAAAGAAAATGTTTATTGGTAGTAAAATATATGAAAAATAAAATATATATATATATATATATATATATATATATATATATTTGTAAATATGAATAAAAAAAATAATAAAAATTATTTAAGGAAATTAAATATTTATATTAGAATATATTTAATATTACATGTGTTTTTTTTTTTAAATTTCTTATTAGAATAGTAATAAGCAAATTCTTGAAGATTTTATAAGGATGAGAAATTTGGTTAATTTTTTTTTTTTTTATACTAATAATTCTTATTTTAAGTATTAAAATATATTTTAACATATATTCATTTTATTTTTTCTAAAGAATTCTTATAATTTTACTGATGAAATGAAAAATGAAAAGATACTAAATGATAAAATAAAGAAAAACCATGAACAAAATCATTTAAATTTAAAGATAAAAAATGAATTACTAGAGAAAAATTTAGTATTCAAAAAAAAAAAAAAAAAAATACATGTATACTGTCAAAATATATTTAATAAATATATTAAAATATATTTTTTTTTTTTTTTTTTTTTCTTTTCTATTTGTATAAAGAAAATGAGTATAGATTACACAAAAGATATTAATAATATAATTATAGAAAAAGAAAAAAATTTATATAATAGAAAATTATTACAACAAAAAGACAATCATAATTTAAAAATGATAAATTTTTATAAACTTGAAATAAATAAACTAAGAGAAGTATTATTATCTGTTAAAACTTATTATTACAACTATAAGATTAAATCTAAGTAATTGAATTTTTTTTTTTTATCAAAAGAAATATATAGAAATAAATAAAATAGAAAAAAAAAAAAAAAAAAAAAAAGAGTAAACAACAAATATGTAAATTAAATAAATGTAGAAGATAACTTAACAAGAATTTTAAATACACAAAATATATCTTAAAAATTTTAATAGTATGTAAGAAAAAAATAATTTTAAACAAAATTTTTAGAAAAAATATAAACGAGCTAATTAATCAATACGAAAGAATAAAATTTCAATTTATTGAATTACAAAAAAGACAGAAAAATTATGAACAAAATTTTCAAAAAAAATATTCGAAAGCATGGGAATTGCAAAAAAGTGAAGTACTAAAATTGTATATACATATATCTTTCAATTATTTTTTATAATAATTACGAAATATTATTTGATGAAATTTATTTACATTTAAGGCTAATAAATATATTGAAAAATTAATAAACGCAAACAAAATTATACATGAACAAGTATTTTTAAAAGAATTTTATAAAGAAAATTGTGAATATTTAACAGAAGAAAATAACAATTTATCTTCTACAACTATTAAAGGTTTTATATACGTATTTAACTAATTCATATTAATTATTTTAAATTCTTTATTCATATGACCTTCTTTTTCTTTTTTTTTAGATGATGAAAAATTCAAAATAGATGTAATTGATAAAAAGGTTTCAATTTATGAAATAGAAAATGTCAAGAAGTTACTTTTACAAGAATGTAGTTTCCTTATAGATGATGTAGAAATGAAAGAATTCATTAAAGTTAATAAAGAAAATAATAACATAATTTATATATGTTTATTTTTACAGAATGCAGATGATGAAGAAGAAAAATTAAGAAAAATTTTAAAATGTATTGGTGTTTATAATCAAAACGATTTAGAATTATTAACTCAATTATTTTATATTGGTAATTAAATAAGAAATAATTTTAATAAAATTTTAAATATATATATATATATCATATATAAATTGGTATGTTGTGACAATTTAAAATAAAGATGACTATGAAGAAAAAGGGGAAAAGGAAGAACTCAAAAGGAGAGAAAAAAGTTTATGTGATAACAGGGAATATACGTTAGATATAATTTTTAAATATTATCAGGAGAAAGAAAAAGAAAATTTGTGTAGAATAACTAAAAATAAACAAAAATATAAAAACGTAAATTTAAAAAAAAAAAAACAAAAAAAAAATTTTTTAAATAATTATTTTTTATAATTCATTAAAATAATATTAAAATAAACAATTTATATAAAAAGAATTCTTAAAAAATTATTATATATATAATTTTGTTTAGAGATTAAATATTTCTTTAAAACTAGTAATTGAAAGAAAAAAACAAGAAAAAGAGTATTGGAACAACTTATCACGTATAATACCAGATGATATGATAAAACTATGGAAGGTTAATTTATAAAAAAAAAAAAAAAATATATATATATATATATATATTTTTATATTTTTATATTTTTTTTTTCTTCTTAAATTATTATCCGTCTTTATGTTTAGACTTTTTTAATTTTTGTTGAAAAGTATTATTATATATTAAAAGAAAGGGAAAACATCATCAAAAATATTTTTATGGAAGAAAAACTAATCAAAGAAAATTTAAATAAAATTAATGAAATGAATGAATCTATAAAAAAATTATAAAAAGAATAAAAGAATTAATGTATCTATAAATAAATAAATCCTATTAAAATGAAGAAAATAATTACATTAAAAAAAAAAAAAAAAAA